CCCCCGAGCTGCATGCTGCAGCGAAGTGTACTTGGACAAATCTGCGGCAACTGTGTGATGCCATCATGTCAATATGGACCAAAATCTCTGAGGAATGCTTCCAGCACCTTGTTGAATCTATGCCACGAAGAATTGAGGCAGTTCTGAAGGCAAACGGGGGTCCAACCCGTTACTAGCATGGTGTACCTAATAAAGTGGCCGGTGAGTGTATATTATGTTGTCAAAAAGGGGTTGGATTGCTCTTTTTCAAGCAACTCCTACAGTTCATGGTTCAAATATTTGTCTGTACACAAGCGGACATAAATATATCCTTTTGGAGTTGTCTTTGTTAAATATGAATTGGATAAGAGTAGGTGCCAATGCTTACAGCCAGTTATAGACTCATTCGTTTCCCACATCAGCTGATGCCTCCCTAATAGCATCTAGACCACATGATACTCCTCCTCGTTTGGGAATACAGAACTCTCCGCCAGTGCAATCAACCCCAGTCTTTTAAAAAAGCCTTTCCAATTAAAAGTGTGCCTGTTAATCCATTCTGATCCTGCTGAAGAGCGCTGAGCCGAGCTCACTGCCCTGCAGTCGGTGGAGCGRACTGAGCTGATTGATTCTAAAGCAATCCTCTCCGCAAGACTGAAGCCCGGGATGTAATGACCCACAGCTAAAGCTTGGATTAGGCCCCGGCCAGCAGAATGTGCTTGGACTGCCCAACTGTACTGACCTGTGGAACGTTTGTGAGTCAGGTTAAATTACACAGTCTAATATGAGAAATTTGTTGTAACACACTGAGTTTACTTCGAATGCCAACACAGTCACTTGTACGGCAAGAAATCTCAGAAAATGGAGCCAACGTTATATGATTAGTTTAAATGAACTGTAAGTTTGTTTTTAGAGCTAAATTATATCATATTGCCAGATAGAGTAAACTTCACAGATGGTGTTTTAGAGCAGTAGTTCCAAATATTTTAGCTACTGACCCACAAAATAACAGTAGAAGAGATCTGTGCCCCCAAACATGTCTGGATAATAAATATCAGGTTAAATAAACAAGGGCTTAGTAACAATATCCATTATGCTAMTATTATCTATTGTAAGTGCACATTCCTCACTCTGTTGTAGCAACTAAGGCAAACAAATTGTTGTTAGTCGTCATTTTTAAATGTTTAGTTCAGAAAATCTTTTCAAGACTCCACTTTGATGTTTCGGAACCCCACTGTGTGTCCCGACCCCAACTAAGGAAAACCTCTGCTTTAGAGCTTTAGTTAATTTCCAAAAAAGCTTCTAGTCATTCTTTTTGACTTTTAATTCTGTGATATTAATTCAAAATAAATGCAGTCATGCATGTTTGTTACACTGTAAGTGGGTTCTGATGTAGAGTTAAATCAGCAAAAAAACACAAATTTGACCTAACATTAAAGAAATACTTGGCTCAGAAGTAGCAGAGGACCAGATCTTCAGCTATATAAAGTTCTTAAGGGGGTCAATGGAGTTTAAAGGTTTAGTCATGCAACCCAAAGCAAACATTATGCAGCTCTTAGAGGATGTTCTTTCAATTGTTTTTTTGTTTTATAAAAAATACTAAACCACAGACATGACACAAAACTAAAATTCCAACAATCAGACATTTACAAACAAAATAAGAAATATAATCATTGTAGTCAGTTTTTTTTAGATAAATTAACAATATAAAAATCACTCAAAGTAAGTCTCTGAGGTAAAACCTATAGCATGCTGAGTATTTACACATTTACTGTATTTAAAGTACAACGCCTGGCAGAAATGATGGAATAACCACTCTTGGGGGATGTTCTTTCAATTGTTTATTTTTTTTATAAAAATACTAAACCACAGACATGACACAAAACTAAAATTCCAACAATCAGACATTTACAAACAAAATAAGAAATATAATCATTGTAGTCAGTTTTTTTTAGATAAATTAACAATATAAAAATCACTCAAAGTAAGTCTCTGAGGTAAAACCTATAGCATGCTGAGAAAAACACTGTTCCAGCTGTACTTTGTTTTGCCACCTCTGGCTTTTACAACAGTTTGAGTTATCTGAGGCAGGGACCTGACTAATGACAAACAGCATCAATCTGACTCCAGCTGTCTCTTATTGCTGTTCCCAGATCAGTTTTGCAGGTTGGAGCTTTGCCATTGACTAATTCAGGAGCTGAAATGACCTTTACTCTTAAAATAAGAAAACTGGAAATGAAGGGTAATAGAAATTAAAAAAGATTACACATGCTTTTATGCTTCAACTAGCATTTTGTCCATTTTAAGCTACAGTACAGCAACATACAGTTACCTAATACCAACAGAGTAATCAGACACTTTTAGTACAAAGTATTAAAAGTAGCTCACACACCCCACTTTCTGCTGTGGAGGAACTTGACTATTAAGCAAAATTCTAACTGGCCCCACGTCTCTGAGAGCGGCACCTACACACATACACACACCCACACACACAACTGACACAGAGGGTACATTAACATAAACAGGTGAAAGGTGAGCCAATCAGTGTCAGCTGCTACTCTGACTGCTGCTAATGACAAGTCCTGCAGAATGTGACATGTTTGAGAAATGCACTGTTCTTCTTACTGAGGCACAATGACGATGGATCAGATTCACTAAATGTAGATACAGAGACAAAAAGCCTGTAAACTTTGAAACAGCATAAAGTTAGGGTCTTTATTAATCTAGAGGTGCACAAAAAATAAAACAATTCACATCAGATTTGTGATTCTTATTCACAACGATTCAGAATCTATTTAAAAAATCCCAAAATTGATAAAACAAACAAACAAAAAACAAAACAAAACAAAACAAAGCAAATCCAACAGCTGTTAGCCTCCATTTTGTAACTACGTGGGACGTCCTGACGTTACCACGCAGCCAGGTTCTGAAATGTATGCATGCGCAGAAAGCAATAAAACTAAGAGGAAACTAAAAAAAATGGAGGAAAGAGAGATTCAATAGGCCCTGTCTTTRTGGAAGGCAAAGATTTGGTCTCATTTTGGTTTYWACAGAATGAGTTCGAGTTTGACATGAGCTTCGTGGTGCGCTAGGTTTGCAAAATGAGGATAAAACGCTTTGGGAACACAACAAATATGAGGGCTAACATTATCAATTTCAAATGAAAAAAAAAATCGATTTGCAATCGTATCGCAAGATAGTCAAAGATTCCCTCACCTTTGCTTTAAACCTCAAAGTTATCCTACTGTTTAATTCACCTGATACATAAAGCTGGTACTTATCAGAGTTTTRGCTGCAGCAGCAGAGGGTTTTCATAAACTAACAAACTTGTAAATAGAGACTTTCTGAGCTAGTGTCTATTGGTGGAGATTGAAGATAGGTTGTGAATCATAGTGAGTGACAAGTAGCAGAGGTGTTAGCTTGGCAGTATGTTGTGGCTTCTGAGCACAGCGTCATTATCCAGCATCATGAAATTCTTATTAAGGTCAAATGCTTTCATTACAAACTAGAGGGAAATCAATGTGTCATATTTCTGACGGAGGGAAAGAGCACCGTGTAGAGATTAAGTGAGTGAGCCAGACAAGAGCAGCTTACGGAAAAAGGGGTGAAGTATAAATGTTGTACAAGCCTGTGTCCATGTGTAAAGTGCTGGTTTACCTTCAAGCCTGACCACCAGCGGCACTTTTAGCTCCAGCTCTCGACAGGCTTTGGTGATGCCGTTGGCGATGATGGCACAGTTGACGATGCCGCCGAAGATGTTGACCAAGATCGCTTCAACCTGTGAAAACAAACAGAAAAATCCCACACTCATAAACAAAGTGGAGGCTAACTTCAAGGAGAYATATCAGGCTTTTAAATCCTTTTTACATTTAAATTATTCAGTTGGGGTCTATATAAAGTGGAACTACAATTGTTCTGAATTCCTTGTTATTGTAACTCCACAAGCCCCTCTTTTACCASTTTTCTGAGGTGYGCCTCAGATCAACTCATTTTGAAGCTGTTTCTTTAAATCCAAACAAGATGCAAAACAAATAGAAATAGAAAAAAAGGCAAGCAGAACAAAATGTTAACACAAGTACTGTAGTACAAAATCAGTAAAGATGGGATGAATGGCTCTGGATCTTGAAGAGCCGTTTGTTTCATAAAGCCATTCATGTACGAGGATATCTCATGTCATGTGGGTGGAACCCTGTGTTTTGTTAGGCAGAAACCCCCTTTTGTACCCCACTGCTCTGYCTGTTTTATGAGCAAAAGCAAAAGAGGAGCGATCATCTCCGTGGTTAAGGTGAAAAAAATTACTTGACGWAAAAAAATAAAATGAATGGCTCTTCACTGTTCACAACTCGGTTCCTATCGTTTATTGTAAGGGCCCATTCAAAAGATTCGGATCGTTCGCGAACATCACATCTCTAGCTGTCAGAAAAAGAAAAAGAAAGTCCCTGCAGGGGAAAACAACTGACCCGTACCAACAGTAGGTCATACAATCTGATCATAGCTGAAGGGAAAAGAGGTTCCAATGAGCTCAGAAAATAAAGTAGTAACATGGCAACATCAAAGGGGTGCAAACAGGCTGACTTTCAAACACCAACAATTAAAATAAATCATATGTACCATAAATTACAGGGGATTCAGCAACATTTAATGGTCAGCAGATCAAAAAGTAAGTTCCTAGCAGACCATGTCAGCTATGATCTGTCAAAATTTCACATTTTCCCCGACAACCACCAAGGACAAACTTGTGAGTTTTGAACACTAAGTTGTGCCAAACCCTTTGTAGTATGTTTACTTCAGCTGTCTCACAAGTTCTTCGGCGAAAAATACCCGAAACTTTCCCACAAAACAACTGAAATGGATATCAAGTAATCAGAGGAACAGGACAGCCAGCGTGCATCTGTGTGCACGCATGTGTGATTACACTAACAATCTAGCACTTGGTAATTACCCTGGCTAGCTCAGTGGAAAAGTAGACTTAGAGTACACAGGATTAATCCTCCGTGTTTGTTTATAATCACTGCTAATCTGTTAGTGCCGATTTGGATGAGCAGCTTGTGGGGGCGTGCACGCGTGCGCCTGCCTGTTGTGAATGTGTGCGTTTGCAGCGTGTGGTAATGATGTTTACAGGGGGAGAAGATCAAGGACTTGGATAGCTATCAGAGCGACAGCCATGGCATTGTCCTCGACATGCTATCCAAATGAGCATCTCCTTATGAACAGCAGAGGATGACACAGGACCCGGAGAGAGGGCAGAAAAACACACAGATGTAGGCAGGACAATAAAGACTCGCACAGTTAGGACACACAAAAGGTCCCTTTTATACAGATTACATTTAAAATGCAGGGATGTGACCAGGAAAGCATAAAGAACAAGGTTGAAACGATGGTTTAACAGCAGCCTCGCATCATATGACTCAGATGTTCCAACGTCAGATGAAGATCAAAGGAAATTCACTAAAATAATGGTTAAGATAGAAGCAATGAATTGCAGTCTTTTACATCATATTTCTTGTAGGAAAGCCACATACTWAAAAAAAACAGGATGGAGTGTTTTACATTTTTCTGTCTGTTTGGTAGGTTTTTGCTAATAATCTAAGGTTTGACTCAACTATAGTTTATCTGGATAACCGAAAAGCTGAAAAATATTTAAAAGGTTGAAGTCTCAAGGCAGAAATGCACATTTTATTGTGTGTTGAGGTGTGGGGCCCCAGATGACGAGCGGTTTCAGTGACTTCAAATCTACAGAAGAATATGCTTTTATTCTTAGGTTGAAAACCCTGTGCTGAGTTTGCATCTTAATGTAAATGAACCAAACCTTTAACACTATTTTGAAATCTCTATCACAATGACATAAACAGTGTGTGCTTTAACCACACGTCTCCACACATCCTCCAAATTACTTCTTTATCTATGAATTTGAAACCAGAAACAAAAATGTTAAAAGAGACTCCTACGGCCACTTAAAAAAAAATACCAGCATATTTATTCAAAGCTAGCACAGTTGACTGACTAATTGAAAGTTTACATATCCTAACAGCTACTTGCTGTAAAACACTCCCTCCCACCAATATATGGTGCCCCACTGGGGGGCAGCAGAGGCTCAGGTGGCATTTGCAGCCAAACTAGTAGGGCTCCATTTTCACCTTATSTATAGCCCATTTTTCAACTGTGTCTCTATTGGGAAGAACCATATTTCTTCCATTCATGCGTCTCCTATTGACACCTATGTATATTAATGACACATAAGTCATGATTTATGTTGCTTGGCACGGACATAAATGCAGTTTATAGAAAATATGGACGTAGGAAAGATCGAGTTGCACTTTGCTGTAAGTTTGGTTTATTTCTCCTCTTGCCTTCATTTTACATAAAAGTACAAACCCAACAATATTATTCTCTTAGAAGAAAGAGATGTCGACCTAGAAGAAGATAACTGGTAAAAATAAGAATAAGACTCCTATTTCTGCCTATTCTTAGGAGACATACAACAGGAAACATGTTTTCCATCATTTTAAGAGATGTTTTGTTACGCTAAGAGTTACATACTTGTTCACAATAAAACATACAATATGTCTCTGTTAAGCTGTTCGTCATGCTGCATACATGTGATAGAAAATATACTTCTTTAGAGCAGGGTAGTGCTTTTTGTGGGGTAAAAATGCTTTGATAAGGAGCCCACCAAAAGAACAAGAGCCAAAATTAGGGTCAATCTTCTTGGTTTGATGCCTTCTCCAATCAAAACCCTATTTCTTGGCATCATGCGAGATCTCAGCATCACAGAAATCCAACTTTAAGGCATGAAATGGCACTTCACACTTCAATCGTCTAAAATCTTCAACATAACACAGAAGCATTTTCCTTCCCGTTACAGAAGAACAGTCTCTTTCCTTTAAGGCGTTCAGTTCAGGTGAGCTAAGTTGGCAGCAGGGTAGGTTTCTTTCATCAGAGCTCAGSATAAAGGCATCAGATACAGTATAATGTGCCTGCGCTCTCTTTTTAGAGGATCTTTGTGCATTCTTTCAGGCAGAGTTAGAKGGAACTGGTACTTTCTACCTGGGTTTCAGTGAAATGATTCAAATTTTGTAAAATAGGATAATTGCTTCCGGCATTCCAATGCCACGCTAAGTAAAAAAAAAAGGGCCTTCACAGCAGAAACAAGCTTTTCTGCCTGCTTTTATACACCCCACTAACTGCATTCAGGACAAGAAAGAAATGCAACCCTGACAATTTGGCATGCTCATGTGAACCTGTCCTCGTGCCTGTGTCCCTTTATGAGACGTGTCTTGGATACATGTTTGACAAAACSCACAGGACAGAGGCGTGTCTCATAATTATACATCCAGACTAATAGAAAAACAGAGACAACACTGGAAATCCAAGCTGCATGTTGAAGACAGTCTCCACATTCACTTCTGCAAAGCTGATGCCGCAGGAAGCAAACAAACACGTTGTACTTTTCTCCTTCAAATTTCAACCCAAGGGAAAATGAATGCATTGTATTCCTCCTCATTCTGCAAGGCTCCGTCTTTTGAGTTGTGTCTGTGTGCTGCTGAACCCTCMCAAAAATACACATCTTCATGCCCATGCTCCTGTTAAGCATTGTTAATCTCTCTGCAGGGAAAAAAAAAAACAAGGATAGACTTTTTTTTTTTTTTTTTTTTTTTACTAGAAAACAGATAGGAGTAAAAAAAAAAAAGCAGGGCTGAAGATGGGTGTGTGCCTCTCCTCTGCCTATTAAGGGTTATTGTTCCATCTTATCTTCTGGACACAGCTTTTACAGTTGTCGCCTGTTTTGGCAGACCTTGTTTGTTTGTCTTCGATCTGCTGGGGGCCCAGTGCTTGGCTCCCAAGCCATAGGTTAACATGCATGGATTCCAAAAATCAAGACAGGCTCCTAATTGGACATCATGGTGTGAAACGGCTGAATCTGGAGTGGACTGAATATGCTGTTTATTTTTAAGTTTCAAGTAGGACAAGACTAAAAAAATCATTGGATGAAGTATGCAGTATGCCTAGCAGGAAGGACTAAATTCAGCAACATTAACATCGTGTGATGGGATGGAGGTAAGATAGATGGGAAYTTGCTGTACTGGGACCCAGAAAAAAAACATTCATTTACTTTTACAGGGGGCATATGCAATATCCACATTTTTGCCATTAAATACATTTTGTTGTGTACTTGGAGTCTCTAGAAGTATAATTTAGTCTCTTCTGGTGCTGCGCAGACATCTTTATATTCTGTTTCATTCATAYTTTTCAACTTTTTCAGTTTTCTCTATTTTCTATGATGTTTTCTAAATTAATATGTCACTATTTGCATTGGAACTTCTAAATAAGGACTGGATTTACTAACTACAATTTCATCATCATCCTCCTCTGGCTCTGGCTCAGACTCTGGCTCCAACATGTAAGGCTGGGTGAACAGGTCTTCTGCTGTTGACATTTTAATTAATTTGTAAATAAAATGTTTTTGTGCCGCTATATAGTCATAAACCCCTCTATCTAACTGGAGTGGGTTGGCCCGGACAAACAACATGTTGGTCAAACGTTTTAGCAACATCAAATAAGTAAGGAATTATAATTTTAAAAAGTATATATAGTGACTGTTTTTGCACTCGTGGATTTGATCTTATTTTGTCATTGCCAGAGCAAACCTATTAACATGAAAGACAGTATAAATATAGAAAAGAAAGGCTGTGGYGACAGAGGATCTTGAAATCTGAGAGAAGGTTGAAGAGCAACAGATGAAGGARGAGAGATGGAGACAAAAAGGAAGAAAGAGAA